TTACTTTGGTTTCATGTGAATTTTGTGAAATCTGACCAATCATAATTCCTCCAATTGCAGGTTGATGTTTTGTTTTAGTTTCATATGATTAATCAGATTTCACACACACACTTAAAAAAAAAACTAAATTCCTACAAGTGCAGATTTATGTTTTATTTAGTTTGTTAGCTATATGATGTGTCAGATTTCACAAACGTCGTAACTCCTACAGTTACAGCTTGGCCTCAGTTCTGCGTGTTTTTAACGCTGTGTTTGTGTTTCAGAGGCGTGTGAGCGTTTCACGTTACTGGTCTTGATGGCCGCTGTTACCGTCGCTGTGCTGCTCTTCTTCTTCTTCGCTCGATCCCCTTCGCTCTCCGCTGTCGTCTCGCGCGATCATGACCCGCTCTCCAGCGCCGCGCGCCGCCTGCCAGACATCATCATCATCGGCGTGAGGAAGGGCGGCACGCGCGCTCTCATCGAGATGCTGAGTCTCCACTCGGACGTCGCCGCGGCTCAGAGCGAAGTGCACTTCTTCGACTGGGACAGTCACTACCGGCGCGGCGCGGATTGGTACGTGTCCCAGATGCCGCTCGCTCGCTCGGGTCAGCTGACGGTGGAGAAAACCCCGGCGTACTTCACCTCCGCCCGCGTTCCTGAGCGCATCCGACGGATGAATCCTGACGTGCGGCTGCTGCTGATCGTCCGCGAGCCGGCCGAGCGACTGCTGTCCGATTACACGCAGGTCTTCCACAACCGTCTGGAGAAACGCAAGCGGCAGCAGACGCTCGAGACGCTGCTGATGCGCGACGGAGAGCTCAACCTGGACTACAAGGCCTTGAACCGCAGTCTGTATCACGTCCACATGCGGCGCTGGCTCGACGTGTTTCCCAGGAGCTGCGTTCATCTGGTGGACGGAGACGCGCTGATTAGAAACCCTCTTCCGGAGATGAAGAAGGTGGAGGAGTTCCTTCATCTGGAGCCGCAGATAAACGCCTCCAACTTCTACTTCAACCAGACCAAGGGCTTCTTCTGTCTGCGCGACCGCCGGCGCGAGCGATGCCTGCACGGCTCTAAAGGTCGCAAGCATCCGCGCGTCGCGCCTGAAATCCTGCGCAAACTCTACGACTTCTTTCACGAACCCAATCAGAAGTTCTTTGAGATGGTCGGAAGAACATTCGACTGGAAGTGAGAAGCGGGTGAACGTCGAATAAGCTGAGAATCAACACGCAAGGAATCGCTCCTGAAGTAACTGGAACATTTCGACATGAAACAACCCGTAATGTGACAAACTCAAAGTTTTTTTTATGATTTCATGATTATGGAGTCTAGTTTTTGACGAATCGTTCACAGTAAGATCTGGATGTGAGTGGAGTTCGTTTTCAGAGCTGTTAATAAACCTTATATTTAGATATATGGACATATGCATGTGAAATACATCTATGTTATATGTTAATGCGTGACGGTAATGATCAAAATACTGTTTCCCTGCTGCTAAGTTTATGAATGTGTGTTTGTGTCTTTATATCAGTCTGTGTTACAGCACAGTTCCTCATTAATTTCATGACATAGTCTGTGTATTCTGTTTATTACATTCTTTATATGAAGGAATCTTTCAGTAATAAAGATATTTTTGCTATGATCTGGTGTTTTCTGTTGTTCTGACAGTCTTTTGCTGACTGTGTGTGTGTGTGTGTGTGTGTGTGAGAGTGTGTGTGTGTGTGGACTTATGCTTGGAGAATTTCCTGGTTTTTGACTTTAGTTTTCTGTCGTCTGTAATCATCCTAATGTTTAATTTGTTATAGGAGTGTAACGTTGTTCTTTGAACTGTTATTGTGTAACGTGAGTGAAAGTGTAACATGAGAACACCACATACGTGTGCACTGTTTTCTCTGTGTGTGCGTGTGAGCTCTGCTCATGAAAACATTGTTTCGCTGTTGCAGTGCAGTCGGTTTCATTGTGTTTTATTGGTAGAACTGAACAGTTTCCAGAGGAACATCAGAAGTTGATTCAGTGGATTCTTTGTGGTCTTGTACAGTTTTTATCGTCTTACTTCTCGTCAGTGATTGAGCAACTGAAACAGTTCTTCATTAAAATCATCTGTGCATGTCTGAGTCTGATCTCAGAGGTTGTTTTGTGGTGTTTTATATTTCATGTGTATGATGTGGTGTTTTTCCAGCGATCGGTCCAGATGAATCAGATCTGCATGTTTACATGATTCACTGTCCATAAGCTCCTTAGTTTAGTTTGAAATGCACAGCTGAAATGTTACCATTCTTTCTATGTGTGTGAGTGTGAGTGTGTGTGTGTGTGTTTGTTCCTACTTAACCATATTGTGAGGACAGATTTGTACCCATATGTGAGCTGAACCTGAACAAACCACCTTGAGGATGTCCTCATTTGCAAAAACAGTATAAACATGAAATAAAAAAAGTTTGTTTTATTGTGGAAAAATGCAGAACATTATTAGTTCGGATTAGTGTGTGGCTTTGGTTTAGTTTAGTTATAGTTTTAGCTGTGTATATAAACATTAGAAGTCTTTGCTATGACCCCATTTAGATAAGTGTGTGTGCGTGTGTGTGTGTGTGTGTGTGTGTGTGTGTGTGTGTGTGTGGTCACAGTGACATTAGCAGCTCTGGATGAATGTGGTTTTCCTGCTCATGTTTGTCCTCGTGGATCGTTCAGGACACATTTCCTAAAGCTGCTATTCCATGATTCAGCATTAAACACTTTTTCAGCATTAAACACTCACTAAGCTGCATTTATTATAAAACGGTGAAATATTATTACAGTTTAAAACAGCTGTTTTCTATATGAATCGCTATGGTAAAGTAAGTGTGTGTTTGTGCGTGCACTCAGAACACACTCGCCACAAACACGCGTGTAACATCACAGTGACATTAGCAGCTCTGGATGAATGTGGTTTTCCTGCTCATGTTTGTCCTCGTGGATCGTTCAGGACACATTTCCTAAAGCTGCTATTCCATGATTCAGCATTAAACACTTTTTCAGCATTAAACACTCACTAAGCTGCATTTATTATAAAACGGTGAAATATTATTACAGTTTAAAACAGCTGTTTTCTATATGAATCTGTTAAACTGTAATATATTTCTGTGATGCGCAGCTGTATTTTCAGCATCATTACTCCAGTCTTCAGTGTCACATGATCTTCAGAAATCAGTATAATATGCAGATTTGCTGCTGAATAAACACACACACACACACACACACAAAAGAAATTAATACTTTTAGTCAACAAGGCTGCATTTAATTAAATCAAAAGTGACTGTAAAGACATTTCTAATTTTACAAAAGATTTAATGCTGCTCTTTTGAACTTTCTATTCATCTGTGAATCCTGAAAAATAAAATGTATCTCAGTTTCCACAAAACTATTGTGCAGGGCAGGACTTAGGGGCCCCTGGGCTTGAGGTTATGTTTGGGCCCTATACACTACACTGCAAAGGCCCTCAAATAGAACATCATTCTGGAGTAACACAAAATACACAAACATATGCTTTGAGGTTCACAAATAATACAATTAATATGCAACATGTCTAGGCTATAGTAAAAGTTTAAATGTAATATTAAACATTCATTATAATATAATAAACAGGATGTGTTCTCTCAGTTGAGAAATCAAAACCCTGAAATAACTTTGAGCAAAAAATAAAAAAAGCCAGAGATGTTGGCTTATTAGTATTATAAAAGTTATTGTCATATCTCTGTCCTCTTATTGGTTCTGCTGTTTCTTCTGTTTTCTTTCCGATGGAGCAAAATGGGATTTTGTGTCTGAAAGTTACTCTGTAAGTTGTTGTTTATTGTACATTTGCGATCGTGCAGATATTCGGGAAAACAAACAGCACTCTTGTTTGTGTGATAGGCTAAGTCCTATATCATAGGCATAGCTATGTTATAAAAACAGAAACTCATTAAATTGCTATTTTTTATTTAAAACCATTTTCATGACATTTCTTCCCCACTATGTGTAGCCTAATGGCAGTAAGACGAGAGAGAGCGCTCAAAACTCATCAGATGATCGCATAATTTAGTGGAACATTAATATATAGTAATATAGAATCATCCTCTGGAAAGAAATTAGGTGTGAACATTTGAGAAATTATCATTATCTTTCTAAATGCACGCTCTTTGGGGCTAAAGGCTTAATGGAGCTGTTTAAAGTAGCCATGTGATAAAACCAATCGGCGCACACGCGATTCAATACGTGTGTCCTTCTCTGTGAAATAATCATAAATAGTAGTTTATGCTGTTTGATTGTGGCCTCGAAGGTCGTAGTTGTAAGCTGTTTTCAACATTGATAATCATTGTCGTTTCACTGGTAGATTCAGTTTGGTCAAATGTCAAAAAATACAGATATATGCATGGATGAATCATTGATAATATGACTGATAACATGCATTCAGAAAACAGATGAGTGTGTATTTCATACTGACTTTTATAGAGAGACGCATGGAGGTGTGTTTGCCGTGTGGCTGTTATGAGATGTTATGTGTGTTCATTAACGTCGCCATGGAAACCTGTGTGTATCTGACACTGTCACTCACACACACATCTTTATGGTGGTCCGATTGTTCAGGTTCATTTGTTTCACATCATTTACCAGCAGAACCACAACCAGCATCTCTGCAGTTACACCACATATAGAGTAATTATAGAAGCAATGACGAGAATCACTTTTAGCCATTCTGTGTGTGTGTGTGTGTGTTTGTTGTTTAGTATTCTCTGTTGTATTCGTTTGTGTGTGTGTGTGTGTGTGTGTGTGTGTGTGTTGTTTGTGTGTGTGTGTGTTGTTTGTGTGTGTGTTTGTTGTTTGTGTGTGTTTCAAGAAATAGATTAGTAGGAAGTGATCACTTCCTGTGTGGCTTCTCATATCGAGAGTGTGTGTGAGTGTGATGATGATCAGAGGAGGCTGATGTTAATCTCACACAGGAAGTTGAGAACTCTCTGAGGAGGCGTCACCACAAAATAACTCAATCACATACACACGCACACGCCGCTGGAGCTCGGCGAACCCTTACTGCTCTTCTCGAGATGAAGGTAAGATGATTTCCAGTCGTTCAGAGCGGCTCTGCTGTCTGTCAGTCTGTATAACGCTTTGACTGCTGCATCAAACTCTCAGCATCATATTCTGCTCAAACGTGTGAAATATATTGAGGACGGATCAGTTTATTCATCAGCTGTACAGCATTAGATTCAGATCCTGACATGTCCATTCTGCAGCTGAATCAGATAAGAACACGTCATTTATGAAGGATTATAAATGCTAAGATGTATATAAACAAATAGAGTGTTTAATGAACCTTCACAATAATTTGCTCCCAGAATCATTCATTCATGATTCTGTGTCACTTTGCATAATAATATCTGACATATGAATGAATATAAAAGTAAAAATATAAAATATGCTTTGCAAAGATGTCGGATTTCCGCCGAAACCCATAACAACATAATATTTAATGTACATCCATATTCGTTAATATTTCTGAGAGCTCTGATGAGACGCTACTGTAAATGATGTCTATCATAAATGATTTCAGTTCCACAGAACAGGATCTGCTTCTAGTTTTGTTCTGTTTGGTCTCTGGGTAACACTAAACCAGCCCTGAAGCCCTCGTTAGATGACCGCTGAAATCTCTCATCACATTATTTAGAGCCGTTATTGAGCGGAAACGATCCACTGTACTGTACCTACAGCTCCACACTCTTGAAAATCAAGCTTTCAAAGGGGGTTTTTGCAGCGATGCCATAGAAGCAGCCAAAGAACCTTTCAGTGGGCAGTTAAAGGACATTTCAATCATCTAAAGAACATTTCTCCTCGATACACTCTTATAAACAAAGATTATTACCATTTATGGTTCATGAAGAACCTTTAGCATCCATGGAGCCTCTCCACTGATCAAAAGGTTCTTTCAAAAGTTTTTCACAGCAAGAAAAACATGGTTATTTTAAGAGCTGTTCACTCAAAGGTTCTTCAGGGAAATACAAATGGTTCTTTTTGTGTGAAAACTCCCTGCTGGAAGCTTTTTCTGAAGGGTGAACTGTCTCGCTCACAGATTTAATTATGACGTGAATATTGATGGATCAAGTGAACTGGTCTGATGTTGCTCTCAAGCTAAAATGCTCGGTGGAGATGGAGGTATCACATTATGCTGTAATCGACAGCATTTGATGAATTACATTCACTGATCACAGTAAGAATGAAATAAGAGCCGCTGTAGCTGTAGATCAGTTCAGATCAAACCATCTCAAGTTTGACGGTTCCCACTGTTGGGCCTTTGAGCAGGACACCTAACTAAACCAGGCTCAGATCACCATGAGATTCATCGAAATCATTTCAGACATGATCCCAGCTGACAGGAAACATTCTTATGAACAAACGTTTAACGTTAATCGATCGTTTGTTTAAAGTGATCAGGGCTGAGCTAAGCTGATCGTAGAGACCATTGGTGGCTTACAACGCTTTTGAGAAACGCAGCCCTGGTCTTTAATAGCATTCTCAAAGCGTTACAAAAACATTCTGTATATATCGTTTATGGAACATTCTTTTGAAACATTTTAGTTGGGCATTTGTCTAAGATGGTTTCGAGAACATTCAAAAAAAGTAACATTCCCATGATGATTGCAAAATAATAACATCGAAAATTCCCCTTAATGCTGTCTTTAATGTTCACATAGCCAAAAACAAATGTTTTGGACGATCAGAGAACATTCAGAAATAAAGTTGCAAAAGGTTCTTAGAACATATTTTTGTTAGCTGGGATGTTTGTCATATTTCATTGTAGAATAATTATGGTTGTTTCCAGTGTAAATGGTCCGATATGGTTTTAGTGTTTTGTTTAGCGTAATTAAGTCAAACATCATGTGCAAACCAAACGCGAGCATCAGAGCAAACAGAACATCATATAATCAGTGATGTTTTCTGGATGTCTGAAGTAGTTGTGACGTACGGAACGCGCATGCGCTAAAGGAACGTTCGCGTTGACGCGTCCAGTAGACGGCGGCGCGGCGCGTCAGCGGAGCTTCGCGGTGTAAACGCCATTAAATCTTTCCCTTTACAGGTAATCAACAAGTTTTTCAATTTAAATAGTTAAGAGACGTTATATAACGGAATACATGGCATGCATGATTGATTCGATATTGAAATATTTAATTAAATCTGTAGGGACGCTGAGTTATTCTCTAAATAATGATTGTGGAAGGAGCGGTAACCAATATAAAGAAGCTCAGGTGTTGTTTAGTGTGCAGCACATTTGGCCCAATCAGAGACGAGTGAACGCACCTCTGGTCACGTGACTCACGCTCCAGTTAAAGTCACGTAAAATCACTGATGATCGCATACACATAAACTAACACCTGTGAAAGCAACATAATGAGCTTTTGAACTCGCACCTGGATTCAGAGATCTGATATATAAAAGATATTTCAGTGCATGCTGAAATAGGAAAAACAAAGTTTTGAACTTGAGCACTGATTTTAATATAAATGTCTGTTTGTGACATAAAGTGAACTGATGTGTTGTAGCTGTTCTCAGCTGTGGATCTGACAAACAGGAAACAGCAGGAGGCGACAGGAAGCCATGAAGAGCTTCACGCTATAATTAGCAGCGTGGACATGTGCACCTCTGAGCATCATTCCTGCACGACAGATGCTAAACCAAGCGCTTAATATCTGCTTTGATTACGACACGGCTCGATAGAGCTGAATAAATCAATCATGCTCATCCAGCGATGACACAGGTTCACAGGAGAATATGGACTGTATTGTCATTTTTGGAGAGCCGCTGATCTCGGATCATTTGCAATAATCTAAAGATTAAATAAAGACTCTGACATCTCATTACTGAGTCTATATCTGCTTGTAGAAAAAGTGTGAAAAGCTCAGTTGTCGTTTCAGTCGTTCATACAGCTGACAGAGCAAGTTCCTTTTTTATGGCAATGCAGTGTTTTATTATTGTTGTGTGTAATACTTGCAATACCTCTGAAGCATCTTACAATACATTACACCTGCTGAATACACTGACTAGCTTGTGGTGTCTGTGGAATAAAGAGCTTTTAGGATGTTGAAAACCTATAGGAACGAAACAAGCTAGTTTTTTGTAGCCATTCCTCCACATGTGAACCGAGTGGACAGTGAAACTGCTGCAAATACAGACTGATAAGAAAAAAAACCCAATCTGCTTTAAAACCCAGCAACACAACTGTAGCTGTGTAACTTTACAACAGCAACACTGCTTATCAAAAAAGCAAAACAGCAACAGATATCAAAACAAAAATGTCAAAAATGCTGTCTAATGGCTTTGATGCTGTACACAGAACAGTCAGTGCAGTGCTGCTTCAAGTCCAACACCTAGTGTGTTTCGTTAGGAGACACACAACAGTCCTTCTGTGGCTTTATACGTAATATTTTTGTTCACACAATTTTGCAAAATCAGACAATATTGTGTCTAATATGTGACGCTGGACCACAAAACCAGTCATAAGGGTTGATTTTTTGAATCTGAAAGTTGAATAAATAAGCTTTCCATTGATGTATGGTTTGTTAGGATAGGACAGTATTTGAAAATCTGGAATCTGAGGGTGCAAAAAAATCCAAATATTGAGAAAATCATCTTTAAAGTTGTTCAAATGAAGTTCTTAGCAATGCATATTACTAATCAAAAATTAAGTTTTGATATATTTACGGTAGGAAATTTACAAAATATCTTCATGGAACATGATCTTTACTTAATATCCTAATGATTTTTGGCATAAAAGAAAAATGGATAATTTTTAATACAATGTATTGTTGGCTATTGCTACAAATATACCCCAGCGACTTAAGACTGCTTTTGTGCTCCAGGCTTACAGATATATACCATAATATTAACTTCCTATTATTGAATTTTTGTAAATAAATATCATATTTGCAACTGGTCAGTGTTCAAAAACTGCTGGGAAATCACTTCACGTAGCCCTAAAATAGTGATTACTGATAAACTGTCAAAAGTCACGTTTCACAGAAGAACAAATCACCCACTGACTTTCAAAGCTGCTACATTTCTACTTCGAGGAGGACTTTGATAGAAATGTAGTGGAGTGCAATGTATATTAGTCTTTCAAGTCATAAGTTTCCAGGAAAAATGACACTCAGGTAAAGTTCAGATACTCAAAAAGTACAGGAATCAAGTAAATGTGCTTCACGACTGTCCAACTCTGTATCTTCCCCACAAAACTCTTCTGAAATATCACTAATGATATATTTCTGCCTCATTTCACCAAAAACCACCACACTGGACCTCAGTCAGAAGTTATTACACACACTCAGTGATGGATAGTAAAAGTGTTTTATTCTCATTGTGTAGCTTGAAGCTAGCTATAATTTCTGTTACCCGCGTACGATTATATTTCATGATGTATTGTATTAAAAGAAAAACATAAGTTCATAAGAAAATGTTTCGTTCATGTTTAATTCTAGTAATAGAATTTATATGGGGATCAGAGGGATGTGGGTGAGAAGCATGTGATACCAGAGTAACGTAACGCCACAACTTACACATCAGTGTTCACATCATCTTTTCATCTCACAGCATCAGTGTTATGGCAATATTTCCATCCGCTGAATGCAAGCTTTTCCATATTCCAAGCTGGCCTGATACACTGCTGATTCACAGGATTTCAAGTCAGTAAGGGGTAAAGGCATCAAAACTAACAAGCTGTTTTATGGATGGTAACTGTAATATTATTACTGAAATCTTATTAGTTAATAGTTGCACTACTAGTTACTGCAAAAAGCGGTACTGTTACTGTAACTAGTTACACTGTATATGAAACAGCAAACAGGATCAGGGTTAAAAATGAGCAATCACAACCGTGAACTAATGGTCCGAGCTACTGTTGTGTGTCGCAGGAGGAGTGTGTGTGCGTGTGATGATGATGAAGAGGTGTCTCTGTTAATGATGGTGAGTGATGTCATCATCAGCTCTGTCTGTGATTGGTCTGAGGGAATGTAATGTGTGTGTGTCACTGATCAGGATGACGGGAACAGACGTGAGCGGATCAGACCTGCACACACACACCTGGATGAAGGTGTGTATGAATCACACGATTCACAGTCACTGACGACTCACGGGACACAGTGTGTGAAATACATGCAGAGACGAACCAATAAGACATTAAAGATTTGACATTGATGTCACACATTGTAAATAATTAGATATAGGTCATATTGTGCTTATTAATAAAAGGATTGTCGAGCCAGATTTATTTCTATAGCACTTTATACAATACTGTTTCTTTCAAAGCAGCTTCATGGAAATAAACAGGAAAATAACAGTGTTAACAGATTCAGCTGTAAAGCAGCTCTGCAGAAGACAACAGAGTCATTATTTAGATCAGTTCTGTTGCAGAAGTGCATCAGTTATGCTCAATGACTTCAAGGGCACACAGCAAAAACTGATTTTCTTCCTCAGTAAAAATATCTAAGCATTCTTAAATCAAGATGCATTTACTGCTTAAAACAATACCAAAATCTGCCGAAGGGGTCAGAAAAAAATCTACTTCATTCCAAGGGAAAAAGAGATTATTTTTCTGGCCACGTTGGCTGATATTTGTTAAAGATGTAATATCTAATGCCATTGACCTACTCAAGTAAATGTTTCTTGATTTAAGGATTCCTAGATATCTGCAATGGTAAACAAGACAAAAACATTGAGGGGAAAAAAATCATTTTTTTGCAGTGCATACTTTGAGCTGAAATCATCTTCATGTTCATCAGGTCTCTCTGATGTCTCCATCTAGTGGCACAGATCAGTCAGTGCAACTCAAACACATGATGAGTGTTTCATTAATGATGTGCAGCCTTCAGCACATTTCAATGTACATTAATACTGGAATATATTATCTACCGCAGTCTAACTTTGTGTGTGTGTGTGTGTGGGGGTGTGTGTGTGTGTGTGTGGGTGTGTGTGTGTGTGAGTGA